ATCAATTTTCCTTCCTCCTTGCAGGACGCCCAGACACGCCCTTAATTAACCAAAAAAAATTACATCTTTATTAATAACAAAATAATTATTAAACAAATATTAAATATAAACTAAGCAAACGTGCATTGCACGTTGCTTGCACCTAGTATATATATATATATATTCTTCCACTTTCTTTTTGTCATTAACCCACATTACATAAGCATAATTATTCAAGTGATGAAAAGATTTTGACAGTTTTAATTCGATTTATCGTCACATCATCAATCTGTAAAAGAATTTGTAAATAATGATGAAAAACAAGCATTTCCATCCAAAAATATGCCAGATTCATTCCTCCTCCTCTTCAACTATAATGGCAATTTTTTCGACTGAGTCACCCATTTAATTATATCTCAAATTGAGTTAAGCTACAGGTACAAGAATTTAAATTCCTGCACCTGCCCGACAACACACATCATAGGTGGGTAGGGGAGGTTTTTGGCATTGTTTTAATCATGTGGGGCCACCCCCATGTGAGATAAATTTTAAATTCCTGTATGAATCCTGTGAGAGTAATTATGTACTCTTGGAATTATTCTCTCAAATTTCCGAAATTAATCACAAATCTCACATTTTTTTGCTTTAAAAGAAATGAACATCAAGAGAGGAACTAAGGGTTAACAAAATGAGCTGTCAAACTAGAATCAAACCAAATCGAACATTTCGGTTTGGTTCTATTAAAAAATGAATGGTTTTAGTTCTCAAAATCGAGAATCGAACTCAATTTTATTATTTTTTATATATTTTTCTTTTTTACAAATCAATGAATCAAGTCAAAAAAATCTAATTTTGAAAATTACAAATGTGAAATTAACAAGTGTCATTTATCATTAAATTTTACCTTATCACCTGTCAGACAAAGCTTTCAAGTTTAGATCTAAATTCTAATTCATTTCTCTCATTTTCAATTTTAGACACACGCTCGCACTCCTCTTCAATCTTTTTTTTTTTTTTATGTTTATTTTTTTGATTTAGGTGTATATCACTAACTTATGGATATGGTGATAATTTTTAATTTGCATTTATCATTTGATAATTTATGTAATGGAATCAGAACCAAACCAGAATTGAATGGTTCGATTTCGATTTGGTTACGTATCTTAAGAAAAATAATTTGTTCCATTATTAAAAAAATCATTCGTTTATCTTAAATAAAGGATATTAAGCAACTTTTGCTATAGGATAACTGAACGGAATAAAGATACCCACAAATATGTCTTGTTTTTGTATTTGTCAGTCATAAAATATATGGATAAAACATAGACGAGATTTTAATTTCTTTTCTGATACTGTCTACTATGTATATATCCACGAAAGTAAACATGCCATCATGAAATGTGAAAACTTTTTAGCCATCTCGTGACATGAATTATATATGGGCTTAATGCTAAATGTACATTTTTTATGATATCCATTCTTGATTTTATGTTTTAACTCAGGTCATGTTTGGCCTATTCTCTTTTTTGCGAAAAAAAAGTATAAAAAGATGTTGCATTCTCTCTATTGATACCTATTACTACATATGCATTTCGTCTACTTTATGAAACGAAGTCATATTTATGTTTCTTGGTGACATGTTTGTAATTTCTTCCTGGGTTTTTTAATGTTCTTCTGATTTTTTTTTTATTACTTTTAAATGATTTTATTGTATAATTGTTACAAATTCGCTATTTAGTCCACTACTTAGAAAGAAAAGAATGTAAACCAATTTTGTTTTTTGTTTTTTATAAATTTAAATTGTGTTGCTATGAAGTAGATATCCATAAATGAGCAAAATATGACCTACCTAACAAGGGCGGAGCCAAGAAAGTAACTCATTATAGGCACAATTTATTGATGTTAAACGTCGATTTTTTTATTATGAATTTAATGATAAACATATAAAGCCGATGATCATGGGAATTTAGTGAAAAAAAAGTCACAGCACATTATAAAGATTACTAACTGCAAAATGGGCTGCAGCAAGTGAAGAATTTTTAGCATTTTTCGCCCCAGTTTGGCAAAGTCCACTCAAGAATGCCTTCTTGGATCACTAGTTGGAAGCCATCAATGGCTTTTCAACTCATTGACTCGCTCACAAAAACTCAAACACCTGGTGCAAGTTTAGCAGATATGACTAACAAACAGATGAAAAAAAAATGAAGCTTTGAGAGAGAAGATCAAAGCGGAGGACGACATGTTGAAGAGAGAAATGGAGCGGCAACAGATGGCAAACCAGAGAATGGTGGAGTTAGCCATGCTAGAGAGCCGAGTCATGAACAATGGTGACTTAACAATAACTCAGGTTAACGAGTTAGTGGAATCGACATTGACAGGCTCTCTTTCTGGTTTAGAAGAAGTGGTGAAATGGCTGATTGTGCAAGGCTGAAGACCTTCAATGGTGTGTTGGGACTCCAATACAAAGTGTGAAATTCTTGGCTGCTATTTCAATGCTTCATATTCATATTAGAAAATGGGGGAAAATGAGAGAAAATCAAGAGCTACAAAGCACTGGAATCTGGATTAACCAGTTAAGCAATAATCTCAAAAACACAGACTGCAAAATTCAATCTACTGTTCTACACAATTGAACCTGAATATGTGCAACTTATAACAATCAAATCACAAATATGCATTCAAAAACACCAAAATCATATAAAACGTCGATGAAGGAATCAAACCCAAACGGTTTATCATTTATGCATACCGTATACGCAAAATATAGTAATAGTCGAAAAGACCCAAGCTAGACTTACAGTAGGTTACTACTGCCGATTGTCGAAGGATGAAGAAGAAGAAGAATCGTCGGCACGGAGGCGAAGTAGGTGGTCAACTGGTCTAGGGCTGGAAGTAGAATGGGAACAACTACGGAACTGGAGGCTGGAGCTGCGACCCTAATGTTTTGAATTGAAATGAAGGCTGGCTGCCGGCTGGAGGAGATGTTGTCACGCAGAGCGGCAGAGGCGGAGGTCGAGCCTAGAGGAAAATGAATCGAGATGGAGGCTAGATGACTGTGGTGTTTTTAATTTTGGGAAGAGTTGACAAATTAGTTATTAACTTTAGAACCATGCTACATTGCCCGCGTAGTTGACCGTGGGGATGACCACACACATGGAGGAAGGGGTTGGATTATTTTATTAGGGGATGGGACCCGCGCCGAGGCTGTGAGTGTGCGGTCATCCCCGCGGTCACCGGTGCGAGTCGTTTAGCATTATTCTTAACTTTAACAATTGCAAAAATAAGGCAAAAATCAGGTATTAATTAATTAATTAATATTAATTAGTTAAAAATTAATTTTCGATCATAGTTTATTTGCAGGCCACATATTATCAAATTGATCACGGATTATTTAATGGTCACGATCAAAAAATTTAAATGTCACACTTTATTCGTCGGTCACTGATTTTCAAATTAGTCGGTCACGGATTATTTAATGGTCATAGACAAAATTTATAGGTCACGATTTATTCTTCGATCACAGGTTTCCAAATTAAGTGGTCACATATTCTTCCACAGTCACGAATAACCAAATAGTTGGTCATAAATTAACCAAATAATTGCCACCTCCACCGCGCTGTCACCGCTACCACAACCACAAAACAGCTACCACATAAACACCATCACCACCACCAACACAAAATAGCCACCACACAAACACCATCACCGGGCCACACAGCAAAACCTTCCAAACCCACCCGAACCGCCAGATCCACCACCAACACTATGACCACCCTCACCCCGCCACCACATCACCTCCACAACGTAACACCACCCCCACAAACACCACCATCGCACCAACAATAACAAATAAAAATCATCCCTGCTACAGCC